CGGCAACCACGCTGCGGCCAGGTATTTTTTTCCTGCGGCCCGGAAGCGGGCTGCAGCCCATAGTTTGGGAAACGCTGATCTAGATGGTGCTTGGTCCTTCTATGAGGGCAGCAGACTGGACTTCATAATCTCTTGAGGTCCCTTCCAGTTCTAGTATCTATGATTCCATGAAGCAATCCCCTGCTGGTGGTATGATGCGGGCTAGGAGCTGTTCCATCCAGCCTGGGCCCTCTGCAGTGCAGGTAAGGGGATGCTTCGGCCTGGCCAGACTCGAGCACCCAACGTGCTATGGGCTGTTCCAGCCCGGCTGAGCCAAGCCTGCTGTACTGAGCTGTGGGCGGGGACTGCTCTGGCCAGGCTAGGTGCCAGTTTTCTGGTTACCCCAGTAAGCATACTGGGAAGGTGAAGGCTTACCATGTAACTGGTTAACCCATTTCATCCCTAGTGCATCATTTTAGAGTGACAGACACTGGTCTACTCCATATCTACTCCATAACTGTGCTTTGTTCTGTAGGGATTGGGGAGTTTACCTTGGTAGCAGGTATTTCCTAAAGGAGATGTTCATGAAACTTTTAGAATTAATTTTGACAGATATTTTCCTAGTTATATCTGACCTTTAAATGTCATATTAGCTGGAAGGACAGGAAAATAACCATTTTTATTAAACTAATGGGATGAAGTTTTTTGTAATAGTGATATCTGTCTAAGGAGAATGCATATTATATATTAGAACATAGAATTGTTCATGTTGTAACGTGGGTTGCAATTTATAATGGAAATCCTATGATTTTTATCTGTCTAGAAGTGAAAATGCCAATGCACTTGAGGTTGTCTTGCTTCATTTTTCAAACATAAGATGTGAACTGAACTTTCTGTATTCCTTCGAGTTGCTATCCTGCAAACACTGACACCCATGTTTAACTTTATATGAGCACTGTGCCACTGCTGAAAACTGTTGATAGCTCCTGGAGAGGAAAATGGTGGTGCTGCCTTCATCTAGAATATTACATTTGTGTCTGGGCACCTCTGATTTCAATGGGACTGCTCCTGAAAGTAAAGTTAAGCATGAGCATAAGTATTTGCAAGTATAGAGCTGAATTCATGTTTGGGGAGATGCTCTTCAAATGTTCCTATCACTTTTGGCTCTTTTTTTACTGCTGTTCACTGCAGATTGAACTCCAGCCTACACTTGGTTCTAATTTCTAAGTATTTTTGCATAAACAACGAGAAGTCCTGTGGCACCTTACAGACTAACAGATTTATTAGAGCATAAGCTTTCGAAGTGAAAGACCCGCTTTGTCAGATGCATGTCTGACAAAGCGGGTCTTTGCCCACGAAAGCTTATGCTCCAGTAAATCTGTTAGTCTTTAAGGTGCCACAGGACTTCTCGTTGTTTATGCAGATTCAGATTTGGCTACCCCTCTGATAAAATATTTTTGTTGCTCATTCACAAAGTATCATCAAAGGGCCTCTATCTCTTATCTGAACCATAAAATAAATACCTTTCAGAGCTATTCCAATGTGTGTGTGAATTTTAATCACTTCTCAAACACTTTTTTTCCCACACTGAGATCAGGGCTGAGGTTTTATTGCCAGTTACAAAGCTGTTTATTTTTCTTTTGGTTCTTTCACCAGGGACAGTCCTAACAGCGTCCTTGTGCTTGTGTTTCCTTGCCATCCTCTTGAACACAGTTGCTCGTTTTCTTGCCATCCTCTTGAACACAGTTGCTCAGTGCAGATGGCAGGTGCTCTGCACAGTTTGAGTTCACCTAGCTAAACAAAATTCTTCACAAAAAGCAAATTAATGCAGACAGTTTAAATACTGTAGACTAGATTTGCAGTGCTGCAAATGGGAAACAAAGTGGTTTTTTTATGCATTACCCCTGTGGGTGTTTATCCTGATGAACTAAGTATTTTCTCCCTGTTGTATAATTTTCTTAGTGATTTCTCCAATCTAATTTCATAATTCTGAAGCAGCAGGGCTGTTATCCAATTATTCCATATTCTGGCCTCTCATTGTAAGAGCTTTTTCTAATGTTTAGCTAATTTTGGTTAATTTCATCTTCTCCTTCTACAGTAGTTTATATACTTTCCTGTCATAAGTAATCCCCCTCACTCTTTGCTGTTTACAGGCTTCAGATGTGTGTAGAGTTCTAGTATGATTGTTATAAAGTAGTGGAGTCCACTATATTAAGCACAGGTGTGGGAACTAGGAACTCCTGAGTTCTGAGCTCATTCAATGAGCTGCTGAGGCACTTCTGTGCCTCAGTTTCCCCAAGATTTGTCCAGTGTCACAAAATGAGTGGTAGTCTTTAATAGCACCCGTTTTCCTCACCTAGGAAACTTGCTCCAAGAATTAGACCTTGCAGCTTTCCATTTAATTGTAGTATAAATGCTAAGGCTGAAAGTGATTGTCATACTTGCCCAGCATAGTTTCTGAGCCGCCCATACTGTGTCACCTTTCTGAAATAAAGGTCAATAAATGTAACAAAAACAACAGATGAAGCAACCCTAATGGAAGGAGGTGGAGGATGAGCACAAGTATAAATGCTGTGAGCAAACTATACTATATATGTTCAGGGCATGCAACTTTGCTCAGCATGCTGGCTACTTGGAGTTTGCTCTCCCACACCTCTGGTTGAGGAAGTCCCTGGTTGCTGTTTTCCCTGTAGCAGTGGGAATGTTCCTTCAGGTTCCTTCCTCTTTTTCTGAGGATGGGAAAGCAGCTCTTCAATATCCAAGGTTCCTTGCTGTTGTGTGACAGTCAATAGAACAGTGCTCTCCGATTAGTCCTACCTGAGTTAAACCCAGGCAGAGCAAGCTGAGCTCTGATCACAGAAATGCACCTGATCCACTCAGGAAACATGGGCCTCACTCCAATCACCAGTACTGCATTTGTTTTGGAGAGGGCCTCAGGGATAGCTGTGTACTTTGCTTGTATAATACAGTGGTTATTAAATGCTCATTATTAAGCAATGCATCTTATGAAAGGATTTCTCCCCCTAGCTTATACACAAGGACACTCTTCCTGAAGTACAGGCCAAAGGTGAAGGTAAGCTGTCAAACACTTCGTACTTACTAATCTAGTGTGGAGGTGGGCTCTTCATTTGACTTATGCTTGAGCAGGTTTCTGGGCTCATTGGCCATGCCTTCCTGTTTCTGGCTTTATTTTTACATTCTGTTCTGTGTATTAATTCCAAGAAGCATAACTGAAATCAAATGAATTGCATTTCATCTGTTCTCAGAGGCTAAACTGTAAGGAAATCTTGTTTTCCTCTTTTTTTTTTCAGTTTGTTTTTGGAATATGGCCTATTCTCCTGGTGGAACCTCCCAAGAAGCACTGACTGAGCGATCCAGCCAACTAAGTGTGACTACTGGCTGAATAGAGCAATTCCATTGTTGTTGACACCAATGTGTCAAAATTATGTATCAGCTCAAGGGTTCAGTGGCAGTAAATAGACTTCTCTGTATTACTGGTATTGTCAGGCACAGCACAGATTGAAGAGTCAGCATGTTAAGGGAAGAATAATGTTTAGAACAGTTTTATTGTTAAGATGTTAAAACAAAATTAAGACACAATATGTTTGTGTATATATTGTATAGCTGAAGATATTGGGCTAATATTTTGTGCTGGTCACAGAAACCTTACCATTTTTTGAAATGGGTTGCATATGTTTTCATTCAGTTGTTGGTCTGGTCTGTGGTTTAAACTAATTAGTAACTGAATTATGAAAATGGTAGGTCAAGTGATGGCCAATCTAAGTATTTAGGGGGCCTATTGTGAACTGAATCCTTCCTCTGAACTAAGTTAAGCTTGCACTTTTATAAAGTTTAGTGGGGTATATAATTATTTAGGGCTCTCTCTCTCAGCTTATGTGTTATTATTTGCATTATGTAAAGAGTGGGAAGCATAGAGAAATTGTATTAAATTAGGCCAGGCTTCCGTTTCCTTTTCTGGATGTGGGACACATCCGGAATGCTTTCCAGCAGTGCTTGGGGGCAGGGCACACCAGTGAAATGGCTTCAGGACCTTTTTAAAAGGGGTTTAGAGTCACTTAGACATTCTTGCTGTGACTCGGAGGAAACTTGAATATTGTCCCAAGTTGTCCTAACCTATGTGTGAATCCAAGAGGCCATTTCTGGGTATTCTGCATATCCCTAGCAAGTACTGAATTCTTGTATCTAACCCTTCTTTCATTTTACAGATCATTCATGCTCACAGATTCACAGCTACTTAGTACATGGTAGTCTAGCTATAAATTCTCCCTGTCCCCCATATTTTACAGCCTTACTAATATTTGCCTGATTTTCAGAGGTGCTAAGTACCCTTCATTCCCCTCTGACTTCACTTGGACTGAAGAGTGCTCAGTACTTAAAATCAGGCCTTTTTTTGGTCTGGTCTCCTCCGCATAATTGATAACTAGGAGGGGCAGCTTCTGTGAACCCTCAGGCAAGTCCCCCCTCCTCTGAGTCCTTAGAGCCATGCAGAACAGTGATCTAGTGGTGATTTAAAGGGCCCGGAGCTCTGGCCACTGCGGCTAGGTGCCCCGGGTCCCTTTGAACTGCTGGGCCCCTGTTCCCTCCCCATGCCCCCGCCCTCCGTTGGCAGGCCTGACAATATTCTGAGGCTATGTCAACACTGTACTGCTGTAAGGTGTCCCATGTAGCTGCTCTATGTTGATGGCTGAGAGCTCTCCAGTCAACATAATTAAACCACCCCCAATCAGTGGTGGTAGTGGTGTCAGGTCAGTATCTCCCATCGACATAGAGCTGTCCACACCAGCGCTGCTGCTGCTGTAACTTTTTTCATACCCTCGGGAAACCATATGTTATGCCAACGAAAGCACTAGTGTAGACATAGCCAAAGTCATTCACCTCTTTTTTTTTTTTCTTTGATTCACATAATACTTGGAAAGTTTGAGACAACTCCTCAGAATACCCTTCCTTTGCTTTGGCTCAACCTATGGATCCTTGTCAGGGTAAGGGATCTCCCATCCCAGGTGTCTGTGTTTTGTTCACCTTGTTTATTAATTTATTATGTTTTAATAAACATAAAGGAAATACTTAAACAACGAATAGTCTAGAAGCACCTTAAAGACTAACAAAACTTGTAGATGGTATTATGAGCTTTCGTGGGCACAACCCACTTCCACAACAGCTCATCATACTATGTGTTTTGTTAGTCTTTAAGGTGTTGCTAGACTATTTGTTGTTCAGTTACAGACTGACACAGCTACCCCTCTGAAGATAAAGGAAATAGTTCAATATCCTATTAACTGTGCCCCAGATTTAATACCTGGATTTTAGCCCTTTAAACTTGAGAGGAAGGGGCTCTCCCAGTTCATGTTAGAAGGCTCTCTACATACACAATAGAGAATGTGGCTTCTCTGATCTCATTTGAAGAACTTTATTTTTTCTTATATTCTCTCTTGCCCTGTGTGATCATGCAAAAAGGAAATCGCTGGGAATGTTTTGGAAATTCCTTATACACGTAGTAAGTGCCTGCATATTTCCAAGAGCAGCAGGATATGGTAATGCATCTGTAACACTGCTTCAAAGATCTGCAAAGTCTTGGACATGTAACTTTTTTGTTTTACCTCTTCAAAGGTTAGATTAGACCCGTGATGTTCAATCAATGCAAACCAAAATAGTTTCTTTTTAATGTGTTTGTCTGTCTGTCTGTAATTTACCTACACACTTTGAGCCTTCTCCTGGACCACTATCAGTATATGCATGGTGGTTTGACTAGCAATTGACAGCTAGCTTGCAGTCTGTGTAAACTAGATCTGCACCTTAAACAGACCTAAAGCCATGGGTCAGGAAAACATCTTTATTCAGGAAGTCAATGGGTATTAAGCATGGACTTTCCTTAGTTGTGCACCTTGATTATGTTGGGGAAAAAAATCATTTCCGAGAAGAGCTTTGCAGTTGATTTAAAAAATACAACTGAAGAGGGTACTTCTCTCCTCCAACTCCCCACAGTAAGCCTGTGCCCTGCCCTTGAGTAGGAATGCTTTTGGTTCCATTTGGTCACCTGTGTCACAAATGGGATTTAAGCACATGGTTTGCTTAATTAGGCCCAGTTCTGCTTTGTATCTGTGGCGTGGAGAACAGATCAACAGTCACTGATGGCCTCCTGGTTACTTAATATTTTTTTAAACTTTTTTTTTTCAGTGGCCTTATTTTTCTTGTTGCAGTTGTGAGGGTTCTGTATTTTGAGGAATTAACCTGTGTATGGGCAGTAACTATCATGTGCTCAAAGCCAGTTTCCTGATGAAGAGATGTCTGTGTGCTTGCATAAGATGCGAGAAGCAAGAGAGCACATTCCTTTTCAGATCATGTAAATTTACTTTGTTGGAGTGTCAAATAAGTTTTAACATGTCTTGTCTGTCTGTGCTTCTTGCTCAAAAAGGCAAAACCAGTTTGGGAGGGGGGGGTTATTGTTAGCTTAACATTTTGCAAGGTGGCTTATTCTTTCACTTTAAGGAGCCAAACATGCACTTTTCCTCAGGAGCATCTCCAAGACATTGCCACTACATTCAGAATGTAATTGAGACACACAAACCTCTAAATACAAACAGTAACCGAAAGCTATGGGTGTGTTGGGAAGCACTACCTTACAAATTGTAAGTCATATTGAAAATGTCAGGACAGAATAAATTTTATTTTCTTGTTACAAACATGAAATCCAGATGACCTTTTTCAGTTGCTTGAAAAATAGACACAAAATGACAGTATTAAGAGCATGCATGTATCTGTTAAATTGCTATTTGTTTATTTTGTTTGTATGACCAAGCAGATCAGAGGCATTTATTTTCTGAAATCTATACACCTAAAACTTAGCTACACACACACAAGTGTGAAAAATTTGCACCCCGAGAGATGTTAAGTCAACCTAAACCTCAGTATAGACGCTGTTCAGATGCCCTAGCTACCACCTCTCAGTGGGGTTATTTACTACATTAATGAAAGAATCTTTTCTGTTGCTGTAGCATCTGCGCTATGGAACTACAGTGGCACAGCTGCAGCTCCATATTTGTATCGTTCTACCACCTGGCTGTTACATGGAAAAGTAACATTAGCAAAATAGTAATGTATTTTGATGCAATTTAAAGGTTGGCAACCTTAACTCTGTGGCCTGTGTCATGCAAGAGGTTAGGCTAGGTGATCACACTGGTCACTTCTAGCCTTAAAAAGTTATTTGAGGGCACTTATCATGTGAGCAGTCAACTCCCCAGAGGACCATCAGCAAGTGTTTCATGCATCATGGTCTGAAAACCTCTGCCTTAGAGACATTAGGATGTGTAATTTTCTCTGACAAAAATCAACACCATACTTTCCGCCATACATCAAGGCTGTGTCTAGACAGGCAAGTTTTTCCACAAAATCATCTGCTTTTGCGGAAAAACTGGACAGCTGTCTACACTGGCCGCTTGAATTTCTGGAAAAGCACTGATGATCTCATGTAAGATCGTCCGTGCTTTTCCGGAAATACTATGTTGCTCCCGTTTGGGTAAAAGTCTTTTTCCGAAAGACTTTTGCCCAAAAGGGCCAGTGTAAACAGCACAGTAGTGTTTTCCGCAAAAAAGTCCCGATCGCGAAAATGGCGATCGGGCCTTTTTTGCGGAAAACCATGTCTAGATTGGCCACGGACGCTTTTCCGCAAAAAGTGCTTTTGCGGAAAAGCATCCTGCCAATCTAGATGTGCTTTTCCGAAAATGCTTTTAACGGAAAACTTTTCCGTTAAAAGCATTTTAGGAAATTCATGCCAGTGTAGACGTAGCCCAGGAGTGAGGATTTTTCAGGTGCAATTCAACAATGAAAGTGAAGTCCTTTTGCAACTAATATAGGATGTGGTGGATTCAGATCTGCCAGCAAGGAGGAATCTCACCTACATCTTATCAGAAAAGAGAAATTCAGGTTGGCTAACAGTATTAGATATTTCCAGAACTCTTCCGAATGGGAGAGAAAATGTAGGTGGTTCTTTCAGTTCTAACACCAGGAGATGCATGACAAGCAAGTATTTAGAACAAACTGGTCATTTTAAAAGCACCATAGAGTTTGGATTTGGAATATGCAATAGAATTATCACTCGCACATCTACCTCTTATCATTGATATTGCACTATCGGTGCCCTTATTTAACAATGCAGAGATAAGATAACTCAGATTTTGCAACACTAGCAGGATTGCAACAGTATTGAACTAATCTGTGGCTGAATATATTATCTCTAGGTAAGTGGACTTCTTAGATGCCTGTACAAGACTTTCTGGTTATGAACTTGATCCTATTAATCTGTTCTCCAGTTTGACTTTTTTAGTGAGTGTTATAAACAGGAGGGACTGAGGATCAAGGCCTTAATTGTAGATATCTTAATGTAAACCTGCTTGCCAACATGTCTGTGTTGATGTTACCACATATATGGTAAAAATGCTATTTTATAAATACTGGGTTTTTTTTTTCCTTCTTGCCCTTCCAGCTCTAACTCTGTAATGGATTCTCTCCTTGGCAGGACACGTTAAGCTAAAGAAAAAGAAAAAAGCTTGACTTTTTCATTTTTATTTGAATTTGATTGCTTCTGCAACATCGAGTTCCCAACCACTGGTTGCATTTTTCAGGCCTAAAATTAAAACGGGATGCTAAAGGTGCCAGCCAAGATTCTCAAAAACAGCCCAACCCCTCTAGGCTTCCAACAACACGCCTAGGCACCTTAACAAGTGGCTTGACTTTCAAACACGCTAGGAACACCAGCAACTTCCACTACCCTCAGTGTTTTTGACACCTAGTCACTTTGTTTGCTGCCCAATTGCTGAATGAACAATAAACACGGATGTTTATTAAATGCATTTTATCCATTAGTAATTTAAAATCAATGTATATCGTATTTTTGGCATATGATGGCAGAAGATGAATGGTCAGGAGGAGCACTTCATATTGGAAGATTTTTTTCTTAAATTATAGTGATAGTTCAGGAAGTGACTAAGTCAGGGAACTCTTTTCCTCAACGGCTCTTTGGTTCTGAGTGTCAGACCTTCTTTATTTTGTAGACGTTCAGGCTTGATGAAGCAGTCCCTTGATTTTAGTGGGGCTGTGCCTGCATTGTCTAAATGTCAGGACTGAGGTTTTAATGTATAGTTCAGTTTATGCTCCAAAACCAGCTATAGAAGATAAATTCTATCTGGAGAAGTGTTAACTTATGGAAGGCAGAAGATAGGAGAAAACAATAAATTTTAACTGGAGTCAATGAGAGAACAAACACACAATCCCATAGTGTCAGTGTTAGTCATTTTTCCTGATAACTGCACTTTAGATCCTGTGTATAACAGGCTTGAATGTTTTGAAGCCTATATGCTTATGTTTTAATATTGATACTGAATTATTTACTATAGAGGCATTATATTTTATGGAATATATTGTATATTATGGTGTACCTTTATGTGGATGGAATATAGAATGGATTATTCTGTACATGAACAAAAATGTTTCTTACATGTCAGAGAATTTCTCTACTTTCTTTTTGAAAGTCTTGTAATGTAAAGACAGCAGTTAAGTTTTAAAACATTTTTTGTCATTCAGCATGCAAAATGATATACAATTAGCCGATGCTGCTAAGTGCCTGATTTTTCTCAGTCACCTTGTTCTCTAAGCATGAAATTATATATAATGTTTTGATATTGTGGGCAAGATCCCAGAGGGTAGTGGATTTAGTTACATGATTATTTTGCTGCTTAAAAAAACTCCCATAAGACAGAATTCAAATTGTGTGTTTTTAGTGGACCTTGAGAAATAAGCAATATTGCATTATCCAGCATTTTGCTGCCTTATTACTCAACTAGCACAATGCATGTACAGGCAGTCCCCGGGTTACGTACAAGATAGGGACTGTAGGTTTGTTCTTAAGTTGAATTTGTATGTAAGTCGGAACTGGTACATATTGTAGGGGAAACTCTAGCCAAACATTTCTCCAGAGCTCAGTTTTATTCTCCCACACCTCACTTCCCTCAGCCCTTTATTCTCAAGCTGAAGTGTCTGCTGAGAAAAGCCGCTCCACCTCTCCCTGGTCTGCTGGGGTGGGGGGGCGCTAGCTTCGCATCTCCCTGGTCTGCTGGGGGGGGAGGGGGCGCTAGCTTCGCGTCTCCCTGGTCTGCTGGGGGGAAGCAGCTAGTGCGGGGTTGCCTCACCCCGTTTGTAAGTAGGGATCCGATGTAAGTCGGATCCATGTAACCCGGGGACTGCCTGTAATTCCATCCATCTCCTACTATCAGACGATGACTCAGATGAGATTTTAAAAGCCAACTAGGGAACGTAACCCTATAGCTCCCATTAATTTCAGTAGGAGTTGTGCAGCCAAATCTCTCCTGCCCTGACCCTGCAATTTGATAATGAATGGGTGGGATTCTCCCCTGTAGAATCTCATTGACTTCTAAAGGGTTCCATTCACAATCATTGTCAGGCTATCACTTATACTTAGCTTTGGGACCAGATCCCCTGGCTAGCTCTGAAAATCACTGCTTTTACTTGGTGGAGCCATTTAACTAATTGATCCATTTAACTACTTTCAATTACAGATATGTAATTACAGTTTTGCAGAGGAGTGGTTCAATCACAAGCCAAATTGAGTCAAATTTGTACAGGCCTCTAAACCAGCACTTGCAGATTTTGTGCACACAGAATCCCACAACTGTTGAGCACACAGCAGGCAGTTCCCTGTCTTGCAAATGTACGGATGAGATTTTGCAAGTGAAAGTGTAATGACCCATTAAAGTTACGAATCTGGGCCTAGTTCAGCAAAACACTTAAGCATAATTTTAAGAACAATTTTAAGCCCATCCCTCTTCTACAAAACTTTGAAGCACATGAAGTCCCATTGAATGAGACTTAAGCATGTGCTTTAAATGTTCTGCTGAATAGGAAAGGACTTTTGCATGTGCTTAAATGGTTTGCTGAATCGAAGCCTCAGTCACTGTCTTGCAACAGAATTTTCCTACAGTATTTGACCATGCACAGTATTGTTCCCCAGGGGAGATTCTAGGAGCATAATCAAGTTACTTTGTAGAGTGATTTGGTTACTGCTTGTCTCATGTTATGTCCAATTGATGTTGAGTCTGTTGAGCCCAATTAATGCACTGATAATGCATTGTTTACTGTTTTAGAAAATAACCAATCTATCCAGCTGGAATGAACATGGATAGCTAATGTTATGTGACCAAACTTTCTAACACCAACACTATTTGTTTTAGTGTAATCTTTGTTTTCAAATTAAAGATGAAGTTGCAGATGAATTCACTGTGACAAAATATATAAATAGGGATTGATTATATGTAATAGTTGTAGTAAGAAATGTTTAATACATTTTTTATATACTAGCAACTAACCATAGGCTTATGTGTATCAACCCTTTTTTTGCAAAACATATCGGCTTTGAGATATTTAATTAATAATGTATTTAATCGATTATCCATGCTGCATTCAAATACTAATTGTCTTTATAGTTAAAATTATTAAAGAATTTTGTTTTAAATAAGATTTTTGTAATATTTCCTGTTTTTTATATTACACGGAGCTGAGAGTAAATATGTCTGAAAGGATATTTTATCAATGCTGTGCAATATTTAAGGATACATGCCAAAGAAATAATATTCAAATTACTGTTAGGAGATCTTTCCAGTGGCCATGAGTGATTCAGA